ATATTTTCTATAATCTTAAATTATATATTTATTATAATTAAATCTTTATATAAAGTTTTCTTATAATTATATAAATAAAAGAAATATATTTTAAGCTTTAATTATTATTTAATAAATAATATTACTTAATTAATCTTAATAAATAGTATATTACGCTTTTCGAGGAGAGTATTTACTATTATAATTATACCCTTTAGCTTAAAAGGATCTACTCGGGAATCTATATTAAGTATATATTTAACGATTACTTACTATTCGCTTTCTTCTAATTTCGCTTAATTTAGAGGGCTATTATATTATAAAAGTATATTAGTATTTTAGTATTAGAGAATTATATATAATATATTAAAGATCGAAGTAATATACTTTATAAAAAGAGATACGTTTTATTTTATTACTTTAAATATAAGGATAAGCTAGCTTTCTTTAGAAAGTATTTCTATATTTATTAATAGAATAATTACGTTATTAATTAAAAAAGTTAAAAAAGTCGAAGTAGGTAGCCTACTTAATTATATAGCCTATTTAACTATAATATATATTATACTAAGTATATATTAATATAATATATATTATAGTTAAATAGGCTATATAGTCGAATAGGCTACTTACTTTAACTTTTTTAACCTTTTTAATTAATAATATAATAATAAGATATTAGATTATATTAAAGTTTATTTATTATTATTATTTAATTCTAATATAATTAATTAATAAGTTCTTATATTATAATTAGTCTTTCCGTAAATACTATAGCTCCGTTTCTTTAATATAGCGTAAATCGCTATACTTAGGTTATAATACGTTTCTTCTATTATCTACGTATTTACCTCTCTCTAAGAGTTCTAATCTTACTTATTAGCTTATAATATACTCCCTCTAAGTCTAAGTTATACTTTTTTTATTCTATAATACTAACTTAATACTATATTCTTATTATAAAGATATTTAACCTTTTAGCTTATAAGGGTATAATAATATATAATTATTTACGCCCTTTTTATAAATTAATCGATAATATTAAGAATTAATATTAGAGAGCTTCCTTAATAATAGGAGATTCGACTTTTAATAAATTTAGATTATAAATTAGCTTCTTAAGTAATTCTAAGTATTTAATTTATCTAAAGTTATATTAAGCTATAAAATAATAATAGAAGTATTAGTATTAATAAGTAAATATCTAATTTCGATAGAACCGATTTAGGATTAAAAGGTATAAATCTTAACCCTCGAAAACCTCTTTATATATTTTTTTTTATTATTAAAGCCCGATATATAACTAAAAACGTAAATAGAAAGTCTTCTTTATTAATATATAATATATTAGCCTTTATCTTTTCCTTAATTTACTAACTATATATTTTCTTTAATAATTTAAAATAATTAATATTAAGAGTTTAAAGTAAATATAATAAATAAAGAGGTATATAAAATATAAAGATATAATTCTTTAATATATATTATTTAAAAAGCTTAAAGACGTAATTTTTATAGCTATTTAGGATAAGAAGATAATATAGTAATAAAGTAATACTTTTAATATATTTATTAAAATTTCTAAGCTATTTTAGATTAATTTTATTTATTATTTAGCTATTTAAAGAAGTTATAAGCCTTTAATTATAAAGAATTATATAATCTTTATATTAAATTAAAAGGTAATATTTATTAGAAAAGACGATAAATAGTAAAATATAGAAGCTAATTATATTAATACTTTAAATAATAATAACCTATTCCCGATTATTTAATTATTTCTTTTTTATATTAATATACTTTTTAGAGTTTATAATAATTATTCTATTATTAATAACTCCTATTTAAAACTTAATTTTATTAAAATTATAGATATTAAAGTTAGTAATATTATATTTCGTAATTATATTTTTTATAATTTTAAACTATATATTTATTATAATTAGATTTTTATATAAAGCCTTTTTATAATTATATAAATAAAAGAAATATATTTTAAATTTTAATTATTATTTAATAAATAATATTATTTAATTAATCTTAATAGATAATATATTACGCTTTTTAAGGAGAGTATTCGCTATTATAGCTATATCCTTTAGCCTAGGAGGATCTACTCGGGAATCTATATCGAGTACGTACTTAACGATTACCTATTTTTCGCTTTCTTTTAATTTCGCTTAATTCGGAGGGCTATTATATTATAATAGTATATTAATATTTTAGTACTAAAGAGTTATATATAATATATTAAAGATCGAAGTAGTACGTTTAGTAGAAAGAGATACGTTTTATTTCATTATTTTAAGTATAAGGATAAGCTAGCTTTCTTTAGAAAGTATTTCTATATTTATTAGTAGAATAATCGTATTATTAATTAAAAAGGTCGAAAAAGTCGAGGTAAGTAGCCTACTCGACTATATAGCCTACTCGACTATAATATATATTATATCTATTAATTCTATTATAGAGACTTATTTTTTTTTAAAAAAGAAAGTCGAGTATAGTATATATTTATATTATTACTATAGAGTTATATAATTTATATAAAATTATATTAACTACCCCCCCCCCCCTCCGAGGTTTATCCGGATTAGGGGGGTTGAACTTTAGTCTTATACCTCTAAGCTGCGACCAGCCTCCTCCCTAGGCTCCCAGTTCGGCTTTGTAGATAGGCCGTCATCGACAGAAATATATATATCTAGAAGGTCCCAGAGGCGGAGGCGGTACTGGCGCTCCCCTTCGATTAGAGCGAAGACGTCGACTACCTTGACCCAGTGCATAACGGCAGCCTTCATTTTCTGGTCCGTCGTCTCCGGCTCTCCCGGCTCTCCTGGCAGGATAGCGGAGGAGAGGTTGTCGATGATCTCCTTGTCCATGAAGATGAAGCATTGGTTCCGCACAGGAACATGTTCGTCCCAGTCGGGATGAGCCATAATATAGGACCGGGCGAGGTCGGGAAAGGCGCCGTCGAGTATGTTGCCTAGGCTATCGTCCTGAAAGATACGATGATGGTAGTAATGCATGATGAGGTCGTTAGGCTCGCGACTAATGACGGGGGGGTCATCTACGACAGGGCCGTAGACCGCGTCGGCGGATCCTTGCCGATATGATTTTATCAATGTGTTGTTGGTACTCGCAGCTGACGCGGAGGGCGGCGAGCTGGCCAAGGGCACGCATAGCGCGGGCGAAGCGGGCGTCGTCTTCGTAGGAGACTCTGACGACATCCCAGCCCCAGCACGAGAAGTGCTCCGACTTACCGCAGTGGCTGCGGAGCTTTCGGAACCAGGTCCAGGCGGTGCGGCCGTACTCGGGGGAGGTGCCTCGGTCGAACCGGGGCGGGGTGAGCAAATGCCCAGGCACGGGCGGGAGGTCCGCAGGCACGGGCGACCCGTCCATAGTAAGCCACAGATCCGTCATAGTGGATGTGGGCGGCGAGCTGAGAGTTGTGAATAGAACTAGGAGTTTGCAGGATCCAGTCCTAGGAGGGACGTTCGAGGACCTAGGGCAGGGATTGGTTACGTTCTTATATCCAATTGAGGTAATTAAAGAGAGAGCATCATCGGCCTAAGGCATTATTTAATGCCTTATCCTCCTTCAGCGGCCTGGACGCCTGGAGCAGGCTCTTTCTCCACTGCTTCAGGCCGGGCGCCGGGGCGTTCTCTCTTGGCACTACTAGTGGTTCCCGGCATAAAGCGGACGCTTTTAAACCACAGGGATAGGAATGGAAAGAAAGTCAAGGATGGTCGCTGTCGTGAGGCAAGGATCACCAGCCGGGGGTGCTGCTACAACTACCTGAATTGCCTTGACTGCCGGCCTGCTCCACGACTAATTCTAAATGGCCTGTCCCACTAATGAAAGGCACTTCACATCGTCATGGATGACAAGGACGAAGCTCTCATTGCGTTCAACACCTTTAAAGATCTCTAAATACTATTCTATATTGCCACCAGGCCACATCAGTCTGCCTTGCCGTATTAGATCTGTAGTGAATCTCGCACGCAACAACATAATGGCTCAATTAGTCGTCGATCTATCCCACGCTCATCGGCATATGCTGCCTCAACAGCCCTCGCCACATATCTGCCCCATTGACCACGGGACCGTACGGCTTGTCACTGAGATACCGTATATCCAATAAGATTCCGTTGATTGAGGCGAAATTGAAGGCCATCAGCTGCCACTCCTTCACCATAACGAGTGACGTGAGAGGCGGCAGCCCATCTTCTCTTCGACTTTACCAGCAGCCGCCCGCCGAATCACGGAAAGCAGTCGGTACCTGAATGGCATCCTCGAGGCGCAGCATAATCTTACGGAGCGACACCGTCAGTGTGCCGCGAGGTATAGGCCTTGGTCGCCGCCAAAATCTAGTCGGCGAGCACTTTGTCGATGGCCATGCCTTGTCTGGGGTCGTGGAAGCCTAGATCATCCTCTAAAGTCTGCAAGCTCATGGCGTTGATGTCTTCATGGCCTTGGAACTGAAGTACTTTAAGGAGCTTGATGTCTACTACCCACTTGTCGGCGCAATACTGGAAAGCTTAGTCAGACCTTATATTCTGGACGATTCTCATGCCCTCAGCTAGACGATTCGACAAATTCAAAATTGTAGTCTTTTCATGATCTGTATTATCTGGTCCAAACTGCACTTTCGGTCTCACCATCTTGGCGCAGCTAGAAGTCTTACCCCAATGCCCTGACTAGTACTTGATGGCTTTCCAATTAATTCGTCATGATGGCAGTCGACGTCGGTATGGGTTGTTTCGAAGAGTTCCAAAGGGAAACACATGAAGGACTAGTGCCGCGACACATGGGTATAGCTCGCAGTATGCCAGCGTCTAGCGGGCAATCAGTGGAAGAATCTCAAAATTATAATACGGGGACTCCAGCATATTTCATACCAACACACCCACGGCTCTCTCTAGAGAAGGTATGGAGGTGCATGTCCAGCTTTCTGTTTACCGTCTCATGGGCGCATAACCATATTTCTATCGTGGATGCTCCGGCGTTTGTGAGATAGACTCGTCCGTGTGCATTGACAATGATGGCACACTCATGGAGCACCCTCGCGGGATGGTGAGACTGTCTTAATGATGACAGGACGTATATTCGGAACTAGGGACCCGAGTGTAAATGATATCTTCATCCGCTGAAATTCGAGGCGACCAGGCTGACACCGTTGGAAGAGTTATGAGCCACTCGAGGGTGACCGCTGTGAAAAAAAGCAACTTTCTCAAGCTCAATTCATCCAGGTGATTCCAATTACCTTTAGCTGTGCAGGAAGATTCTCCATAGAGCCGTTTGTGAATCACCAGTCTGGACAGAATATGGAATGGGAAGATGGATGACGTACAGTTGATCCAGTGCCGCCAGGCATGATAGAGAGCGCCTCGCTAGTAAGGCGTTTATGTGACTTTGTAATTTCCGGCAGATCAGAATTTATTCAATTCGTCATGATAGTGAATTACCATGTAATTGCTTGAGGCCGAGAACAACCGGATTGCCTGCTCTACCTTCTGTGATATGATTGTCTGACTCGATCAGTGCATACCCTAATTACATTCATCGGGCATGCGAGCCCCTTCGGAAACCATGCCATCTACCCAATGAAATATGTGTATGGGGAGCCACTCGAAGATGATCGACAAGGAAAATGACGAAACGCATGAACGTGGCGAACTGCGCTAAGTTCATCAAGTCCATCAACTCTCTCCTCAACAGGATTGAAGCACCCGGCGGTCTGCTGCACGTCACAGGCCAGGATTGTCAGGGCCGTTGCGTCAATGCTATGGATTAAAGTAACCCCATATAGTGTTGTCAGTGGTCGTTCGCGAGCTTCGGCATGGCGCAAGTCTGCTAACGCTAGGGTCATGCTGGACTATACTGTACTTTAAAGACGACGGCCTACCTGTTCGACCTCAGAGAGACTGGCGTTGAACTCGCCGCCAAGTTCGAGACTGGGCAGAGGAACTCAAAAAGAATACATGAGGTACTTCTGAGGCGAAGGCAAGGAAGCTTCTACGGATGCCCCCTTCCATTGCACAATGTACTCCCAAGATAGTGACAGCATGGCCTTCGCCTTCGGCGCTATCGTTCCTGGCAGTGCCCAGGCCGAGAAAGTCTCCAACGCCCTCCAGCAGAGCTGGATATTAAACCTACCCGCGTCCCACGAGTAATCTTGCAACATCTCCCCCTTCATCACTAGTATCGAAGTCGAGGCACAGTTCCGCGCCGACGGGGCAAACCGTGCTCTTGAATTGAGCAAGACCTGTCGGAGCTTGTACCTCAGAAGTCCGAACGGCACGCAATAGATCGTTACCGAGGATTATATCTTTGATGGGTCATTCGGTTATAGAGATATCAGAGGATATCGAAATGATCACTCTTGCATTTCCCATGCGTACGGTTGGAGCGCTTGTGTCAGAGCGTTGTTTAGAGCAGAGTGAAGGGGTCTTCCACAGGGTCCGCAGGTAGTTAGAATATAGGTATGGGATAGGGATACATCTGAATTCTGGCCCTCCGCAGCTTGGAGGGGCCCTCCGCAGCCTATATATACGTTCTTTTGAGACCCTTACCCCCTGACCAGCCCCCTAGCTTGGCAGGCCCTTGCTGGCTCCGCAGGGGTCCTGACAGCTTGCCTCACCAGTGCTCTGACGGATTATATTGTCTGCCTTCAAGTGACGAAGCTCCTGGAGTGTTTAAACTCTACCCACGGACATATTGATGCTGCGGGCTTGCCATAATCTCAGCAGCTTCCTAGGCATTGGCCTCACCGGCTCCAAGAACACGCTGCTCGACTTTGAGCTGCTGCCTGAACAGAGCCACATCAATGGTGAACCTGACATGATGAAGTACAAAGTTCCACGCATCACCTTGAGGACCCTTGCATTGAGGTGAGGGTCGGTCACTTAATCTTGCTTGTGCACGCATTTAACACAAAACCCACATCTCTCTAAATGACCTGTTCATCGTACAGATTTATTAATGTTTACTGATGTGTAAAGATTATGGGATTTTAGTTTTAGCAACCAAGACTTCGTGACATTGGTCTTGTCTTACTAGCATTTCTATTACCATCTTGAAAGAATTGCCTGTAGTTGAAACGAGCAGCGTCGAAATAAAATGTACGTTTCACTCATTCACATTCCCTGGATAGATAGCAAACAGAGACTGACTTGCGCCGGACCTATCACAACGTACCGGTCTAGCCGGAACTCTTAATCACATCCATCCATAAATCACCTTCACAAACCTCCGCCAGTAATTTGTCGACACCATGCGCCCTCTGTGAACACTCTTCTTGCTACCGCCTTCGTCATGATAGGCTTCCAGGCCCAGACTAATTGCACTATGTTGTCACCTGGAATATATTACCACATCGGCGGTAGATGCAGCGGCGCCGTTCATAGTCTTGAGCGGCAGCACACCAGGGAATGTCACTCTTTGCTGTGGAAATAGATACCAGTGCTAGGACGTCTGTGGGTTTCTCGTATCACCCCAGTCACTTGGTTGTTCTCTAGTGCATATTCGTGTATTTTTCGACACAAAGCTAACTTCTGCCCATTTGCTCTCGATATGGATTATCGTCAGCCTTGTCACTTGACGAAGGAAGCTTGTGTTAGGTTGCGCTGTTTGGCCTAACTGTTCTGAGCCACAGGCTTAAGAGGTTTGTTCCTAAAATCAAAAAAGAAGAGAGGTCATCTCTTTTGCTCCGAAGCTTCCATAGTTAAGAGTCGCTCAAAAGAAAAACAGGGCAATCCATCGTGGGTGCCTTCGAGACGTATGTTATGATCCTTTAGGCTGAATCCTCCCCGGCTCACGTCCCGTTGTCGCCTTTTGCGACCCCGGAAGGAATTTCTTCGGCCAATGAATGAACGGCATTACGATGCAGAATTACTGGGATACTGACACTAAGACCCGAATGCTTCAAATATGCATGCTATGAGAGGAACTTCTGCTGGCTTGCAGCCTCACATTTGCGGCGCAGACGCGAGGCGCCTAAGACAAGATTTGCTGCGCCTCAGCCGCGCTTACTGGCCGGCAAGAACATCCGACGCGTTCTTCCTCGCCTGGATCAAATTTGTGTCTTCGATGGGGGCATAAAGCCGTTGAGGAACGCCGGCTCTCTCAATCAGGTCCTCGACACTCTCGGTACTAATTTCCTCAAATATCCCCTTCCATTGAAAATGGCCATTGTTTCTTTGGCTCTCCTAATTATTTGGACCCTTAGTTGGGGTGAAGGTGTTGCTGCTAAGCCTTCGCCTAAGCCTCCCGTCTGGAGGCCTCTACCGGGAGGTTTGACCATTTTGGCCCACAATGACCTTACAAGTGCGTACTAAAAGTCAAAAATTATAGTTATTATTGAATTGACAATATGCAGACCAACCTAACCTTGGCTCTGGAGCAATCTTGATTGATCATCCGAAGAGCTTTGATGCCGCTGTGCAAGCATGCAGACAGCTCAGCGAAGGGCTTTGGGTTCAAGACAGTCACGCGTTTGCTTCTGGTCTTGATGACTCTCTCGCATACCAGGTGCACATCGGAAATCACGCTCCCGATGCCAAGTTCTGGATCGCCAAGAAAAAAGGAAGCTGCAAGTGTCAGGCACTCAGCTTGAACGGGTCAGTTCGTGAGGTGCATTGTTCAGAGCGCCTCTCCGTCCTCTGCACCCAGAGTGCTCCTGTCTCCAGCGAAAAGGTAAACGATACATCTCTCCCCTTCCAAGTTACGCAAAAGGTTGGAGACGCGTATTTCACCGGGTACCGAGACTTTTTCGCTTGGAAGTTCCGCGGTGTTCGATTTGCACCCACCCCTCAGCGTTACGAGTACTCAACCCCACTACGAGGTGCCACCGGCCATTTCGACGCTCTCGACGCAGGACCAGACTGTCTGCAACGCGGGATGCCGCTATCCAGTGATGATTGCCTCTTCATAAACATTTGGACCCCGTATCTACCCTCAACTGGTACCAAGTCGCTGTCAAAGGTCGCATTGAAACCCGTCTTGGTGTACCTCTATGGAGGGGCGTTCCAGTTTGGATCCGGCAAAGATCCCAATTTTGATTTAACGAACATCGCATCGAGAGGCGACGTGGTGGCGATTACCATCAACTACCGCCTTGGAAACGCCGGCATGCTTGTGTTCAAGGATGGCATACACCGGGGCAATTATCCTATCAACGATCAGATCAGCGGCCTGAAATGGGTGTCCGAAAATATTGCAGCCTTCGGCGGTGACCCTAACAAGGTGACCATTCTGGGCGAATCTGCAGGTGCCATGTCCGTTCGCTACCTCATGGCGTCACCAGAAGCTAAAGGGCTCTTCCATGGTGTCATGCTGCAGTCAGATGGGAACGAAGGTATCGCGGCCGCTGCTGGACGTTTCTGGTCTATCGAGCAGTCTTACGAGTACTTCACCAAGAACGTCCTTGAGCTTGTCGGATGCGCTGACGCAGAGGATGAATTGACCTGTCTTCGCGAGGTTCCAGGTGTCATTTTATCAGGTCTCCCGGAAAATCGATCTATTGCCAACGTTGCCGTAATCGATGGAAAGTACCTGACCACACCATTTCTACCTGTCGATGGGTCCGGCTTCGCACAGGACATTCCCGTTCTAGGGGGCGTCGTGCGAGACGAGATTGCCATCTTTGACATTTTGCAAAACCAGATCTACTGGCCAGCCGTCACCTTCGAGATTTGGGTAGGCTTTTTGTGCCTGTATCAAGATTTCCTGCGAGTCAGTCCAGCATCGATACTAAACAGCTTGCCGCTTTGGAACCTCACGCCACAATCCAACTATACGCAGCTGTTTAACGCTACGTCCAAGATCTTGACAGACAATGTCTACGTCTGCACCGAACAAGCCAGGGCATACTCTGGAGTCAAGAACGGAGCTTTCAAGAGGGTCTATGCCTTCAACGCCTACCGAACTTATAGCGCGCCTACCATCACGGCGCCATACTGCAACGCGCCAGTCACGGCGGATCACCCTTTCGGAGATCCCAGCCTTGAGTACTACAAATGTCATGCTTCGACGCAGACGACAATGTTTGGAAACTATGCACGGATGGGTATGCCTGAAAGAGACGAGTTCGACCTGCCGTTCAGTCAGTTAATGGTGGACTACTGGGCATCCTTTGTGCGAAGTGGAGACCCGAATCCGGATCATGCCTGGCTCGCTGCCAGAGGCTTTGCGTCTACTCTGGCTGAAGTCAAAAGGGTGGGCGTGTGGTCGGAAGTGGACGCGAGCTCCCCGGAGTGGATGATTCTCGAATGGGGGGGACACATGGCACCCTTCGGCAAAGAAGCAGAGTGCAAGGCGCTGGGCCAGCCTCTCACCTACTGGGAAGACCCTGCGCCTGGACCCAATCCACCATCAGATATCTGTAGCTTCCTCGGCGGAGATCAATAGAGTACATATCGGTAATTAGGACTCTGGGCAGGGCGTCCTTCGAGAGCTGCTACCAGTCAACACATTCGGGAAGCGATGCTCATGAGGGTGTAGACTCGTAATTTCAAAGTTTAATCTTTCCATAAAGTTTCTTATCATGGGCTTACTCGATACTGTTGTTGCTCGAGCCTTACAACTCTGCAGTGCAGCCTCTCCTTTGTGTATTCTTCGAGACACTTCAGTCCCCGACTCACTCAGTGTGTTAGTCATTACCCCCAGGCTTCTGCCCGTACACCACATAGCTTTGTGCTGTTAAAATCGCGTCGTAGCCTATTGTTTGGATGGTGACTCACAGAGGCCAGTATCCATGGACAGATCGGTCTTTCATGTCACGTCGTACATCGACGAGGAATAGTTCAACTTCCTGTTGCGTCCATCCTAGCGCTCGTGTAAAAAGCGCCATGCTGAGACCCGAGGCACCGTTTCCGAGATTCTCATATGTCCACATGCCTTTGTGCATGCGTGTTAGCCCCGATTTTCATAAGGGTTGTAGGAGCTGTGAAGCAACTTTAAATAGTAGACTGACCCAGCTCCTTGAACTTTGGGTCCTTAGGCCACGAATTGGAGGGCCACTTGTATATCGTCTCAACAACATTCGTGAATCCTGCGTCAGCTAGTTGTTGCTTTAAAAATAATGCGCTGTCTAAAGGACGGCCAAATTTGGCTGCCGCCTCGAGCATATATCTGCCCCATTGCGCCGCAGGGGATGTAGGGGAGACGGTGCCATCGTCACTCTTCAGGTCAAGAAGAATATCGGATATCTCAAGCCAGCCGCCGGGTTCCAGGTTACTTATGGGACGTTAGCACGTCACTAAGGCCAACTAGAGATGGGTGCAAGGTACTCGTAGCATTGCTGGATGTATGATGGCCAGTCCTTGATAGACGCAGTGAGCATACGAGAGTAAATGAAGTCGAAACCGGTTGAGAATGTCCATCGGTCTTCGATGTCATCGATGTAGAATGTAACGTTGGGAGGCACACTGAGATAGCTATCAGCACAGAAAGAATTGTTTGGAAGTGGGGGAGAAAATTTACAAGTCCGGTTGGATTGGGCTGAGATCGACGCCAACAACCTGGCTTGTTCAATTGTGTGAGCGGCAAGGTGATGCATGTCTCACGCACCTTCGTTTCTGGATGATCATCGGCTGCGCAACGGTCAGTGGAGGTGTGCAAGGGGGCGGCAGGATAATGCCAGCAAAGCCCAACTCTGCTCCAGTCCGTTGGGATCTTCTGGGGTTCTCATACCGAAATCCATGGCCCAGATTCCTGTGCCGGTGCCAGCATCAAGAGCCTGCACAATGGGCTTGTCCCGGCCTGCAGGGCATGTAAAAAGCTTGCCGTCGAAGGTCAATGTATAGAGGTGATGTTGGAGGTCTGAGAAGGTCAGAGCTCTAGTGATGCAGCAATGAGGACGCCCCCGCCCCCTCCATTGATACTCGGAATTGAAACTTACCAAGACGTTCATTTTCACCCTACGAGCACATCAGCATTGGGCCGTCTTTCGACGACAAGGGTCTTGGCATCGGGTGTCGTATCCTTACCTCATCATTTGGTAAGACATATTCTATAGACAGCTGTCAGTGCCATCTAACTCTCCTCCCACATCGCACCACAGAAGAGACCATGGGGGGAAAGGTGAGGGAAGGACATTCTCACTTCCTTCACGGAATGCATGATATGTGCGTCCGTTCTCCTCCCGACTTCGCAGAATGCTCGACGTGATCGACGCAGATGAGCTCGCGAGGGACTGGATTGCAGAGTCTGCGTCGGAAAAGTCCGACTGGGAGGAGCCAGTCAGCAAAGATACATTGATGGGCTTTGTGGGATGACGACAAGCTCACATCGGCTTCAAGTGCTTGCACTGAGACGGGGTCGGCGCCCGTCATGTTTTGCAATTGCCCAGTGTCGCTGGGGAATGGTCAAACGGGACTTGGGAGCAGTGACAAGCGTCTTCGGCAGAAACGGATGAGAATGGGGCCACCGACTGGTAAAATGATACGACGCGATGTGAAAAGGAAAATGTCAAGCTGTGAAGAAGGGGAGATACGAACGGCGCTTCTTGCCGAGGGGACAATCACATTGATCCCAATCGTATGCCTATGACCGATCTGAATCGGCAGGCTGAAACGTGGAAAGAGTCACTGTATCGGGGG